GACAGACACACACACACACACACACACACACACACACACACACGTACACACAGACACACAGACACACAGACAGACAGATAATTACAATATAAAATGAATGGAGAAAATTATAATACAAAAATAATAATAAAATACTACTAAATACAAAAATGAAAGTTAAAGTTATTTGCTCTTCTCACCTGTGGTTACAGACCATGTACTCGAACAGCTCTCTGGTGATGAAGTGATATTCTCTTCCTGTCTGCTCTCCTGCTCTCATTGGACGAGTGGTGTCTACAGGAAGAGTCCGACAGCCAATCAAAAGTTAGTATTCACCTCCATGTTTTTAAATATATATATTATTTTTTTTAAATGTTACTTTTTTGTTGATGTAGTAAATTCACTGTTTTGAATTAAGATAATAGATGAAATTCAGGCGTTAATTACGGCCTTTTTCGTGATTAAAATCTAAAAAACTATTTTTTTTTAAAGTCTTAAAAAATGGCGAGTTGGAAATAAATAAAAAATAATATGCAAGATGCATAAAAAAAATCTAATTCGAGTAGCAATAAAATGTCTTATTTAAGTTCCCACTAGTATGTCATTTAGTTTTAGTTGTTTTAGTTTAGTTTTTCCTTTTTATTTACATTTCTTATTTTGTATTATCTGGATTGTAAGCAGTCAAAATAAAATCTAAACCGACAATAACCTCACACTATACAGTTAGACACGTTCAGTTAGGGAGGTCACCTACGAGGGACGGGACTCTGGAAGCTGGACGGGTTCAGTTTGATCAGACTCTTCCTCAGTTCATTCACTCCAACCCGGGTCGCACCTGCACACAGGAAGCAAGAGGAGAAGCAGTCCAAATAAACTCTTCAGAACACATCTCATTGTTTCTGACAGCAACGTTTCTGATTGGCCCGTGGGCGTAAAGCCCGCCCACATTTTAGTGATGTGGTCATGACGCAGCAAATCTGGATCAGCTCCGTTGTTCCCCCGTTTTTAGAGATGTGGGTACGGAGGAAAAGAGAGAGGGGTTTATTTCCTGAAACTTTGAGAGTCTCCTGACACACGGGGGACACACCGGGGACACACGGGGGGACACACCGGGGACACACCGGGGACACATGTTGATGTAGAGAAGACATCAGGAAGTGAGTTTTGCATATAGGGGACTTTTAATCTATCTTTGTCTCTTCACTTTTGCCGTAACAATGCACATGTCCCCTCCCCAGGTGTTCTGACTCTCAGGTAAAGATACTGTATATTGAGATGTGATGAACCTGACCCACAGTATTGATGCATTAATGTTATTCTTAATGTTTGTGGTGGGGGGGGTTATTTCCCCGGGCCTCACCGAGCAGGATGATGAGGCGGTGGTTCTCCTCGGGGAGGCGCTGGTATAGAGCCACCTCCTCGTAGGGGGGGCAGAGGGAGCTGGTGTCGGGGGAGCAGGAGCTGCAGGACTGACGCCTCCTTCTGTACGACGTGCGCCTCCAGAGACGGAAACTACGCCGGAAACCAGCTGGGGAACGTCAAGAAAAAATGTAGTTTAAATTACAAAGAATTACAAATAAATTAGAAGTAAATTAGAAATAAATTGGAAATAAATTGGAAATGAATTGGAAATAAATTAGAAATAAATTAGAAATAAATTAGAAATAAATTAGAAATAAATCACATTTAGCGGACGGTTTTATCCAGAACGACTTACAATAAGTACTATTCATCTGTTTGGTTCCAACATTAATCTATAATTAGAATAAACAGTATTTCACTTTACATTCTCTTCTTGTTTATCTTGTTCTATTTACATGTATTTGTTTGTAATGTGTAATAGAATTGTTTATTTCTACTCTTTTAATTTCTACTTATGTGCAAACATTTCCCAAATGGGGATCAATTAAGTACATCTTATCTTATCTTATGTATATATGCAACATTTAGCTTATTGTTGTTGTTGTTTACATCAAACAAACACAAACTCAACAAAGCAAACGTAGAAATAAATAATCTAAATTGTGTCTCACCGAGATAAATCCCATCGGTAACATCAGAGTCCGCCTCGCCTGCAGGAAGGAGACATTCCAATACACAAGGTGTTACACTAAAGCATTTGACTGTGCTCAATGTGTGAAAGAAAGATGTAAACAATAATACAACAACATATGGATTGCACGTTGAAAATAAGTAATTATCATGACGTGCCTGCTGCCGGCCAGCTTTCATCAGCAGGTGTTTGAATGTTATCTGAAATAAAAGCAGAATAAACTTTGTTTCAGCAGCTCTCACTTCAACACATAGGGTAATAATGATGGATTAATAATAGGTGAAGTCTGGTCTCACCAGCGCTTCCTCCCACGGTCACTGAGGACAGAAACACAGGCGATAACATGTGGTTACATCTCTTCATGTACAGCGGGGATATGCACTGTCATAGTTCAGAGAATCACATGTGAGGTGAGGAGACGCAGAGAGACATTTAACAACATTCCCTCCTCATACGCTCAGAAGGACGCTCAGAAGGACGCTCAGAAGGAAGTCAAAATGTCAGGAACACAAACAATGTGGAGATTTAATTATAAATATTGAGAATTATTTTGAAAATATTGAGAATTAATCAAAAATATTGAGAATAGAATACAAATGTTGAATGTGGAGGATACATTTGAAATTTTAAGAACACGTTTGAAATGTAGAGAATAAAAGAAACATGTCCAAAATAAAATAGAGTTTCAATGTTGAGGATAAAGTCAAAATATAGAGAATAAAAGAGACATTCTGAGTTAAATAATAAAGTAAAAAGTGTCGAGAAACTTTCCAAACTAAATCAAACTAACATAACGTCATGTCCACTTCTTCATAAAACAACCTTTATATTTAAATGTTTCCCCACTTATGACACACTTACCTTGAAGGTGGGGTAGGTCATTTTGGAGAAACCAGCTCGAGTGCGCTGGAATTTGAAAATACACAGCCTGAAAANTCTAAAAGAGGGGCCACTTCCTCACAGAGCCCCTCCTCCAACACACACGAACGCGCACATGACCAATGAGGGCACGAGATCAGTTTGTGCACAGATGGAAGGCTGACAGGCAGGTAGGCCATCCAGTTACTTTAGCCGGCTCAGATGATTGGTCGTGCTTTTTACAGCGCCACGGCTTCCACTGATGATATTTGTTATGTATTTCTTGTCAAAGCACTTCAGATATTCATTGCTATCAGGACGTTAAGAGCATTCCATGGAATATAACAACAAGAGTATCTCGAGCCGGTTTCTCAAACTTACCTACCCCACCTTTAACAATCATGTTTTTGAATCTGTGTCGTACTAAAGCATTAAGACGGTTTCCTGCAGACTGTAGATCATAGATGTAAATATGAAATAAACAAAGCTAATAGATAGCAAAGACTCACAGGGTTTGATGCAGGTGTGAACCTGAAGGGGCTGGGACCACCAATTCTCCCTCTGCTTACTGAAGAGAGGAAGACACAACTGTTAACTTCATATCAAACCAAGTGAGTGTTATGAATCCCTAATTAGGAAACTTTGGAACAGCAGCTTGTTAAAATAAACAGTAAATACAGGAGAGAGATTTAACTTCACTCAGCTCCCTCTAAGAGCTTTATACTACTTTTATAAAAGTGCAGTACAACTCCCTCGCCTCTGAAAAATACACACAGTTAGAAGTTAGTTACAACATCTTTAACACTATGCAGACGACACCCATATTTACCTTTCAATATCTCAACACCGTTAAACCACATTAGTTATAACAGACATACCTAGACCACACTATAAACATCACAGGTGGGCTATAGCTTGTAGGAGCCAACATGCTTGCCTGAGGAAATGATCTCCATTATTGTGTTCATTTTGCAAATATTTGTATTTAATGACCACTTCAGGTGTTTGTCACACGGGTCTTGTTTGTTTGTATTTAGTCCACCTGTTGTCTGTACGACACAGAGGGTGAGCTCATTTTCTGTTGAACGTTTGGTCCTCTTTAAGTTATTGTTTGTTTGTTTGAGTTATTAAACTTCGTTAAACTCTAACTTCAGTACGGTCTCTTTGAATTGAAACGTGTCAAAGTGATGAGCCTCTAGAGACCGTTCATTGGGAGATTTGTCGCAACAATGCTGTTTTATTTTTATTTAAATGCAACACTACAGTTATTATATCGATGTAAATATGATTATCTAATCACCTCCGGAGCATGCTAGCGGAGGGGATGATCCCGGCGCAGGTGGAGGAAGAGGAGGGGGAGGAGCTTATCTTCATGGGGGAGGAGCTTATCTTCCTAGCCTGCCACCACCTGGCGTCGCTCTGATCCACGACCTGCAGCAGCTCTCCTCTGCTGAACATCATGCCTGCAGGGGGGCAGGGGCTGCAGGTGTCCAGCAGGGGGCAGTAGTCCACCATCGCCTTCATGAACACCTGGGGGGGAGAAGAAGAAGAAAGAATCAGAATCAGAATCAGAAAAATAAATTCTAATTCTAGGTTTTCAAAATTCTGACTTTTTTCAAAATTCTGACTTTTTCTGCCTTTTCTTTTATTCTGAAAAAAAAGGCAAAACGTTCTGACTTCTACCTAAAAAGATCACTTCTGATCAAATCTCGTCTTTGTTTTTCAGGGTTACAAATCTGCCTTTTTTGCTCAGAACTGAAAATGACTTCTGGTCAGATCTCAACTTGGTGACCCTTAACCCTCTTCTGCCTGAGTTAGTTTTGGAGTTCTGTATTTTTAAAGTGTGTTATCAAAACAATGAGAGAAAGAACCTGAAACTGGTAGAGCACTCACCGTCTTCTGGCTGTTTCCGCTGCTCTGCGCTGCATCAGGAATGACTTTAAACAGGATCGTTCCATGGGAGTTCATCTGAAGAAACAGCATGTAGTTAAAGACAGATACACTTAGTATAAGACAGCACGCTTTCTCAGTTCAATATCCTGCACTAATTGTCCTCTTGTCCTCTAGTGAAGTTGCTATCCTATGCCATCACTGGGGTTTATTTATTCATATTTCAATATATACAGTGGAGGAAATAATTATTTGATCCCTTGCAGATTTTGTAAGTGTACCCACTTACAAAGGAATGAACAGTCTATACTTGTAATGGTAGTTTTATTTGAACAGTGAGAGTAAGAATATCAAAAAGAAAATCCCGAAATTGACATTATCTAAAAGATAAAAATGGATTTGCATTGAACTGTTTGAAATAAGTATTTGATCCCCTCGCAGAACATGTGTTAGTACTTGGTGGAGGAACCCTTGTTGGACACACAGAGGTCACACAGAGGTCACATAGAGGTCACACAAAGGTCACACAGAGGTCACACAGAGGTCACACAGAGGTCACACAGAGGTCACACAGAGGTCAGACGCTTCTTGTAGTTGGTATCCAGGTCTGTGCACATCTCAGGAAGGATGTTGGTCCACTCCTCTCTGAAGATCCAAATCCTTCAGGTGTTGAGGCTGATGCTTGGCCTCTGGAAGCTTCAGCTCCCTCCACACATTTTCTCTGGGATTAAGGTCCGGAGAATGGATCGGCCCCTCCCTCACCTAAATGTGCTTCTTCTTTAGCATCTCCTGTGTTGCCTTGGCCGTATGTTCAGGGTCCTTGTCCTGCTGGAAGACCCCTCCATGACCCATGGTCAGTGTCCTGGCTGAGGGAAGGAGGCTATCAGCCAAGGTCTCACGGTACATGTCCCCGTCCATCCTCTCCTCGATGCAGGGAAGTGGTCCTGTCCCCTCAGCAGAGAAACAGCCCCAAAGCAGAATGTCTCCACCTCCATGCCTGACGGATGGTGTTCCTCCAAACACGGCGTGTCGAGTTGATGCCAAAGATTGCAATTTTGGTCTCATCTGACCACACCCTCTTCTCCCAAGCCTTCTCTGAATCATTCAGATGTTCATTGTCAATCTTTAGACGGGCCTTTCTTGTTCTTCTTGAGCAGGAGACCTTCAGGCGCTGCAGGATTTGATCCATTATGGTGTCGTGTGCTACCAATAGTTTTCTTGGTGACTGTGGTCCCAGCTGCCTTGAGATACCCCTCGGGGCGAGATCTTGTGTGGGCCCCCAGACCGAGGGCGATTGATTGTTGATTGAAGCCCATATTTTATTCCATTTTCAAATAATGGGATCAACAGTTGTGTCCTTCTCACCAAGCTGCTTTCTGATGGTCTTGCAGCCGATCCCAGCCTGGTGCAGGTCTACAGTCTCCTCCCTGAGGTCCTTAGACAGCTCTTTAGTCTCACCCATGGTGGAGAGGTTGGAATCTGATTGGTTGATTCTGTGGACAGGTGTCTTTTATACAGGTAACAAGTTGATATTAGGAGTACTTTCTTAAAGGAAGTGGACTCATGTAACCGGTCTGAGCCAGAACCCTTGTTGATTGCAAGAGGATCAAATACTTATTTCACACAGTTCAATACAAATCTATTTTTATCTTTTATATCGTGTCAATTTCTGGATGTTCTTTTTGATATTCTTACTCTCACTGGTCAAATAAAACTACCATTAAAATGATAGACTGTTCATTTATTTGTAAGTGGGTAAACTTACAAAATCAGCAAGGGATCAAATACTTATTCCCCCCCCCGCCCCCCCGGTGACTCACCAGTATCTGGATGACCTGCTCCGGCTCCAGACCGGCAACCGGGTTCCCGTTCACCTCCACCAGCAGATCCCCAGCGTGGAGGAGTCCTCACACACACACACACACACACACACACACACACACACACACACACACACACACACACACACACACACACACACACACACACACACACACACACACACACACACATTAATACCTCATATATTATCTCTAGTATTGTTTGGTAATAAACACTTCATTAAAGAACAGTTTCCACTCACTGCTGCGGTCGGCCAGGCCTCCGTGGATCACCCTCGCGATGTAGATGGCTCCCGTCTCCTCGTCCTTCCTTATCGTCGCGCCCTGACACCAGAACAGTTACTGCAGATTAAACAACCAGCTCTGATGAAATATAGGGAAACATTAAATGGAGGATGGGATGAACGCTACTGGTTCCTGAAGCTCTTAAAGCGAGGTGATGGACACAAATGAGTAGTTTGTAGATATTTAGCAGGCATACTAAACTTTAAATGCTAAAACAGTCTGCTGAGCCAGAGGTATAATCATTTGTATTCCACACATACATACTCCGTGTGCCTACATTACCCACAATGCAACTCTTCCTCTGACATTTCGGTGGGAAACTCATGTATTATGCTAGTTAGCAGCTAATGTAGCCTTCAGCACATAAGAACAGCAGGCTACAGCGGCCATTAAACAAATATTTCTTTAATTTACACCTCTGGATATTTTAAATGTTGGTGACAGCCTTAAAAGGACATTGATCACACTTCACACAGCTCCCTACATATTTATGATACAAGCAGTAAAACTATCCAACAGCTGGAAACCCCATAAGTTAGAACATCTTTAAAATGCATTAACAGTATGCAGACGACACCCACATTTACCTTTTCTACATCCCAGAATAACCACAGTCCGTTAAAACCACTGGAGGTTTTGTTTGTATTTCCTTTGACTGTTTATAAGGAAAACTAAGATAAGTAAGACTCAGACTAACATATTGGCAGGAATAATAAACGGCATTATGAACGACAAGGATGAAATGAGAGATGACGGCTGAGAAAATGTAATTCCTCTGTACCTTTAAATAATGGCTTTGACCTATTCGGTTGATAAATCCAGTTCCAGAGTGTTAGTTGTCCAAAAACTGAAAAAGATCAGTACCCTTCTGGTATAGAGTTGAACTTGGTTACTAGTTGGGATATAGCTGTACATATAAAGGTATTTTAGTTGGAGTCTGTTTTCAACGCTACGGTAGATAAGGAGAGGAGGCGGTTTGTTTCTGGTCCTACTTATTCTTTCTCTTCTTCTTGGTTGTTAAGCATCCTGTGGATTCACATTCCTGTTGATCATCCAGAGTCGCTCTATAAACAAAATGTCCGTTTCTCCCCCTTGACCCTTGGGCGGCACCAAACTTCACCGTCCTTTCTCCATTGGTTCCCCTTGAATTCCTCGACTTTGCAAATCCATCCGCACAGGAACTGGAGGAAGACGATGTGGAACAGGAAGAGGAAGACGAGAAGCGGCGAGGGTAAGGTGTCGGAGTCTTACGAACCACCACTTTGGGAGAAATCGAGGACACCCTGGGAGGAGGTTGTGGAGGAGGTTGTTTTCGTCTACATTCAGGCAAAACATCTGGTTGTTTACTCGCCACGATCAGACCCTGAAGCTTATCCACCACCTCGGCAAGTAAATTAAGAGCCTGAACGTTTTCCTCCTTCATTTCCGTCTCCACCGCCATCTTTTGGCCCAAATGACAGACGTCGTTCGTGCCTCGTTCGATGTTCCCAGCCACGGTTTGTTGCGCGGTGGTGAGATCAGGGCGGTGAAGAAGTTTGGGTTGCATTTGTTGCCCGTTGTGACGAGGCACGGTAGAGTATTGGGGACATCTTTGAGGCGCATTTTGGGGTTTACCAGATGTAGTTTGGCAGCCATGTTGTCTACCAGAAGTGGGGAGTGTGCTTACGCCTTGGTGCCGATGAGGCGATGGAGTAGAAGGAGCGGTGAGGGATCTAAGAGGGTTATTTCCTGGATTTCTACCGGGTGTAGGGACAGTTCTCGATTGTCCCCTTGGTGCAGCTTTCTTGTATAAGACAGGTGAGTTGGGAAGGCTGAGGCTGTAGGCAGGGACTGGAGGAGGAGGGTAGGCGTAGTCATCGCTGCTCCCTCCTGGAGAGGATCGTTCTCCCCCGATGGGTTTGGGTTGATCTGGGAAAGAACCTCCAGGTTGAGAGGTGATTGAAGATAAGAGAGCAAGAGACAAGTAATTACAATGGAAGAGAACAACTGGGCAGGAAAAGCTAAAAAGGTATTGGACCGTGAAGATATAATAATCCATAATTGATGGATGAACCAAAAGATGGACATCCCAACTAAAGATAGAGAAAATGCAGAGATGAATGGATAGATGGATAGATGGATGGATGGATGGATTGATAGATGGACGGATGGATGGATGGATAGATGGACGGATAGATGGATGGATGGATGGATGGATAGATGGACGGATAGATGGATAGATGGATAGATGGATAGATGGACAGATGGATGGATGGATAGATGGATGGATAGATAGATAGATGGATAGATGGATAGATAGATGGATAGATGGATAGATGGATGGATGGATGGATGGATAGATAGATAGATAGATAGATAGATGGATGGATAGATGGATAGATAGATAGATAGATGGATGGATAGATGGATAGATAGATAGATGGATAGATGGATGGATAGATGGATAGATGGATGGATGGATGGATGGATAGATAGATAGATAGATAGATAGATTGATAGATAGATGGATGGATAGATGGATGGATGGGATGGATGGATAGATAGATAGATGGATAGATGGATAGATGGATAGATGGATGGATGGATGGATAGATAGATAGATAGATAGATAGATAGATAGATAGATAGATAGATAGATAGATGGATGGATAGATGGATAGATAGATGGATGGATGGATGGATAGATAGATAGATAGATAGATGGATAGATAGATGGATGGATGGATGGATGGATGGATAGATAGATAGATAGATAGATAGATAGATAGATAGATAGATGGATGGATGGATGGATAGATGGATGGATGGATGGATAGATGGATGGATGGATAGATGGATGGATGGATGGATAGATGGATAGATAGATGATGGATGGATAGATGGATAGATAGATGGATAGATGGATGATGGATAGATGGACAGATAGATGGATAGATGGATAGATGGATGGATGGATGGATGGATAGA